CGAAATGGGAAATGGCGAAATGGGAAATGGCGAAGTGGGAAAATGGCGAAATGGGAAGACACCTCATGTACAGCTGGCTGTACAATTATACATTCTCCGGCGGTCATATATGCGCCGTTCAGCAATATAAGTCTAACTACGCGTGACAAATGTCATCCAAATCGATCATATTGACGAAGTTGGCCATTGTGTGCAGAACATCACGTTACATGAAGAACTTCAGGCAAAACAACGTCGCCGACATCTTCAACATGACGGCTGTCCAGGCGCGGATTTAGGCCGGTTTGCACCGGTTTCCAGAAACCGGTCACAGGCTGGGTATCTTCAGAATTGACCCTCAAAATTCACCAGAATGCACCAAATATAACCTAATTTTTTAAAAATTCCCGGGGGGCCATGCCCCCAGACACCCCTAGCTCTGACTAGAACTGTGGAAACTGGTCACCCAAACCCTCTGGATCCGCCCCTGGCTGTCGACAGTTCCCTTCAACACAACGTAGATACTGCTGTCATGACGTTCTGTAGCAGCACAGAGCAGAGCAATACGCAGAGGAATGAGTTTGATGTTACGAATAGCCACATAATGCGCATACTCTCTCGTACAACATCGTCATCCATTTCTTCATGCAATCATGGTGTGATCTCTCTGATTTTCACATATCAAGTGTTACATAGGACAGGCGTCATGGGGCGCTGTACAACTTAAAGTGAAAACGCCTAAGACCACACGTAAATGGAACCACCGCGAAATCAAAACCTTCGCTCTCGCCCCCTTATCTGTACGACTCCCCATCTAAGTCGCGAGTTCCTCCCACGTCCCAAATCTCTGCCCTCTGTGTCCCCCACTAAAATTCCAGACTTCGCTGGCAGCTATGGATCCGTGCGCCAACCTATGCATTCGGCGCACGGATCCATAGCTGCCAGCGCTGAATTCAGGAGGCGCTGCGTTCGTTCATCGAGCGTTCGCATCGAGCGCTCGCTCTCCTGAACACGCCTCAGGGTAAGGTTTGGGTACAAACTCCACAACAGATGGCGCTCTCGCTGCGCTCAAGTGCTGCTGTCCCGTAGAATTTGGACGCTCGCCCGAAACTGGACACTCCTAAGTGCGCATGCTCTTTTGTTTTTCTCGTTTTATTTTTGTTTGAATCTTGTTTAGCAGGGCCGTAGGAAATAGTAGCCATGCTCTTTTGTTTTCTTTTTGTTTTGCCTTGTAACTTGACACACATAACACAGTCTTACTAACTTAGTAAATATTGCAAATTGTTTCAATCAAACGTTTCCATCAGTGACCGGGTTGTCCGCCATGTTTGTTTATTGCGACCGTTTCGATGGGCGAGATGCGCAGATGACTACTGCGCATGCTGCGCATGCGGCTTTGCAAAACAAGAGGCGCCTGCGCGCATGCGCACTTAGGAGCGTCCAGTTTCGGGCGAGCGTCCAAACTCTACGGTACACTGCTACAAGTAGATTTCCGTAAGAATTTCTCACGCTTTTTTACGATGTTTTACAGCGACCACATTACTCGTGTCCTATGTAATAGGGTTTGTACTTGTAAAAGTTACAAAGATAATAAAAATCGGACAATTATTTCATCTTAAAAATTTGATAAAATAGTGATACGAAATAGTGCGCGGACTGTGCGCCCATTTACTACTTTCAAATCATAGGCCTACGCTGTTTACTAAACTAAGTTCACGTGTTTATTTAATATTTATCATGAATTTTTCGAATGCTTGCCAAGTTACGACGAAGAAAGTTGGTGTTACCCACAAACTCAAACCTAAACAGATAGAGGCTCTCACGTATATCTACATACAAGATAAGGATTCGATCGTCAACCTTCTGGTTGGCTACGTGGCAAATTTAACTGGACAATCGGCAGCCCGTATGTCGCGCAAAGCGCGAAACACGCCGCGTAGCGGCACACTAACACAACAACGTTGCACTCATTGAATAGCAATTTTAACAGGTCCTATATAGCAAGTATGTAGCAAGTTCGCTGAGTTGAGCAGTTCTGGCGATTGCACGACGGGTTTGACTACCCACATAACTAGAGATTTCCTAAAAATGGTCGTAATTCTTGGTTCGCTACTCGGCGCGCTTGGTTTGCTGTAAAAAACGGAGATGAAATTTTTTCTGCCAGCGACTAGTTGAGGCCCCCACATCAGTGTAGTACATATGGCATGCGATAGATGGCGCAACAAGGCTATATGCATAGCATTTCGCTAGCACTTTATCCTGCACACGGCTCGGCCGGCTATAACCTAGACTCGTACCCGGTCGACAGTTCCACATGCTACACTAACTAACTTCAGTGTAGCGAAGGATACTTGCCTTTCTTTGTGTGTTATACTTGTAACAGTTTATTCCCGTTTCGCCATTTTCCCACTTCGCCATTTGCCATTAAAAATTCCCACTTCGCCATTTGCCATTTTCCCATTTCGCCAGTTTCCCACTTCGCCAGTTTCCCATTTCGCCAGTTTCCCGTTTCGCCAGTTTCCCATTTCGCCAGTTTCCCGTTTCGCCAGTTTCCCATTCCGCCATTTCGTCCTATCTCCCCGACCACCCCCTTGTTCGAGGTGGGTTAAAAGTATGCCTCTGTAATGAATAAATTATAACGAATCTTTAGATATGGAGTCAACTATTTATTTGAACCAGAACAAGAAGGCGAAATCGTACATATCAAAACATATGGATCATGTACAGGCACCCTAACCCTAACCCTAACCCTAGCCCTAACCCTAACCCTAACCCTAACCCTAACCCTAACCCTAACCCTAACCCTAGAAATGACTCTTTTTTAAGAATGGAAGGATCAATTTCGTGCAGGGGGTGGAAGCATCATAAAATATTGGCGAAATGGGAAACTGGCGAAGTGGGAAAATGGCGAAATGGGAAAATGGCGAAATGGGAAAATGGCGAAATGGGAAAATGGCGAAATGGGAAAATGGCGAAGTGGGAAAATGGCGAAATGGGAAACTGGCGAAATGGGAAATGGCGAAATGGGAAATGGCGAAGTGGGAAAATGGCGAAACGGGAAGACACCAGAGAAGCTGCTTACTAT